CGCGGTGCACCGACAACGGCGCGGCGGTGCTGGAGCTGTTCCTGGACTCGAGCTTCTGCCTGCAGCCGCGCGGGGACAGCTTCACGCGGCGGTCGCTGTTCGACTGCATGGTGGCCGGCGCCGTGCCGGTGCTGTTCTGGCGTCGCACCGCGTACGACCAGTACCGGTGGTACCTGCCGCCGGGGCCGCGTGGCGAGGAGGGGGAGTGGTCCGTGTTCATCGACCGGCAGGCGCTGCGCGTGGGCAACGTGAGCGTGCGGGGCGTCCTGGAGGGGCTCAGCGAGCGGCGGGTGCGGCGGATGCGGGAGCGCGTGGTGGAGATGATCCCGCGGCTGGTGTACGCGTCGTCGCCCGAAGGGCTCGGCGACGGCATGGAGGACGCCCTCGATGTGGCGCTGCGCGGCGTGCTGGAGCGGTTCCGGCGGCGCCGGGCGAACACTGCGCCTGTAGGTGAGTTGCAACGGTTCTTCTTTCTTCTGCCTTCTCTTCCTTGCTAAATTTTCTTACCGAGTCGAGCAAATTTTGAATCAATGTGAATATTTTGTTTCGGGCATGCATGGTGTCCTTTACTATGCTATAGCTATTATTGTCCATTCAAAAGTGGCGTTGTGATTTGGCTCTTTCAGGGCTTTCAGCGGAGCGCTGGCCAGGCCGCTTCGTCGCACGGCGTGTAGACGGCAAATCGACGCTGGCGCCGGCGCCTCCTTCTGACGGCAAAAATGGATCGGCAGCGGGGGTCAATCAGAACGCCTCAGGAACAAAGCCGAGCCCTCCGGCTTCGTCATATGTAAAAACCGTCGTGTCCGAAGCATCGGCTTCAACTGAAGAGTGAAGACCTTGAAGCGTGGACATAGAAACGCTGAAGGCATTAATTTCATTCTGCTGCATCTGCATCTTGGATCGCGGATAGCTGAAGAAGCTGGCGTGGGTGCGTGACTGAGCCAGGGTCAACCGTTGCAGAGAGTGAGATCCAGTGGAACGGGTTACCGTCATACCGTGGAAGTGCCTAAGGGGAAACCACCGCCTGCTGGCTGCTGCTTGGCCGGCTTTAAGAAATGGTTAGCATGTTCTTCGCTGCGGCCACACTGCCGCGCTAGACGCCTCGGTGTTAATTGCAGTTGACCAAGCGGTAGATTCTTTACAAAATCTAGAAGGCGGGCCACGGCCGGACTTGGCACAAATTTTGACGAAACTTGTATATTATACTGTACTCATCTCCGGGCTAGTTTTGTAGATTCATCTCTTAACTGTGGCTTTACACTATTTGATTGACGTCTACTGATGGTCTGTTTAGTGCCTGTTTGGCATGGCTCTTGGAGCTGAACTCCAGCAACTCCAGCTAATTTTTCAGCAAAATATCCCAGCTCCAAAACTCTATGGAGCTGTAGTGCAAATGGAGATGGAGTTTTGGAGCACCTCTTTTGCAGCTCCAAAACCATCCAATATGAACCTCCTCGTGGAGTTGGTGGGTAATTACCCATCAATGCCACTGGTTAAAAAAAAAAAACGGTTCGTTCTTTTCATCCCGAGACCCCCAGCAGGAGTGCTCTGTTCTGGCGCCCGACCCCCGCCGCCGCTAGGGTTTGCCCGCCGCCACCCACACCGGCGGCCGCCATCCATCCCCGCCGCCAGCTGCTCGAGCCCCGCCCGTCCGCCGAGCCCCGCCGAACGTCGCCGCCCTCCTGCTGCTGGCGGGCGTGGAGCCACTCCACGGCGCGCCACAGCTCGTCCTCTGGCACGCCGGCAACGTGGCGGTCCAGCCCGGCGTCGAGGTCGCCTGTCCGTGGCCGCGTGGCTGCCCCGCTCGCCGGTGAGGCCGCGCCTCCACCGTCGTCGAGCCGCCGTTCCCGCGTCTCGATCGGTCGCGCCAACCGCGTCCCTGGACTTCACGAGCGTCGCCTCTGAGTCCTCCTCCGGCGAGGCCTATGTCCGCCTGGCCGCCGAGGCCGCGCCCCCGCCTGCGCCCCGCCTCCGATGAGTTCCCTGCTCCGCGCACCAGGCCCCTGCGCACCTCCGGCCGCGTGACCGCCGCGAGGAACCACCCCGGCCGTGTGGAGAAGAAATAGATGTTGAACTGACGCGCAGGCCCCAGGTGGCAGTGACACAGAGGATAGATGCAGTCCAAATATCTACTAATTGGCTACTGATTGTTTATCCATACTACTCATTATGTGTTGAACAAATTGGATTAATCGATGTTCAATGACTTGGGATGACTTGGCTTGAAGTGTATTAGTAATTATTTTGGAATTTATTGCATGTATTTTTATTTCATATTTGTGAGAAGTTCAAGTCATTCATTTTATCTAAAGAACGGTGTATTTATTCAAACCAGGGGCAAGAATGGCAATCTACCCTCAAACTCCTCTTTTATGGAGCTGGGGACACCCTCCCAACCAAACACCTCCATCAGACAACTCCAACTCTACCTAGAGCTGGCTCCACCTGGAGTTATAGAGTGGAGCCGCTCCACCCGGAGTTAGAGCCACGCCAAACAGGGCATGGGTATGGCTCCCGTACTGATTTTTTCATCGGCTTCGGCAGTGGAGCGATTGGAGCCGCACCAAACGTTTTTTTTAAGGTGGAGCGCTTCTGACCGTCCAAACACAAAGCCACAATCGTTTTTGCGTATGAAAATGGAGCCGTGAAAAATAGCTTCTACCGTGGAAGTTGGAAAAGCCGGAGCTGTTTTTTTTTTCCTGATACAATAGAGCCGTAAAAATAGTTTCGATCGTAGGAGTAGGAAGCGAGGGGAGAGTGGGGCCTGACTCGGGCACGGAGCGTCCATGGAAGAGCCGCAAGCCCGCAACAGACCTTCTTTCAGTTTCAGCAGCATGGATTTACTCGTACTATTATCTCACAGAGCACATACATGTTCCAGTGTTGTTCTGTCCTTGAAACTTAGGACAGATAATCATCGGACCTCACGCTTACGGCTGATCACTTCTAGCTTTCTCCCAAATACGATGATCATGTCACAAGAGGGTCCGAGAATGCTATAGCTTTAGTTTTCTGTTGGTGCTTCTTGCTGTGCTAATAAAGCTTAAACTATCTGTAGTCGTTTTCAGTTTGGGAAAGAGAGAAAACGACTGAAAGGGGAACAAAAAAAAAGCAATAGCTGCCGGCAATGGCAAGACGCATCGCAAGAAGCGTCATCATGTAATAAAACACAAGAGAGTTGAACATATACCATTAGTAGCTTTGTACGGATGGTTCCAATTTCTAATCGATCCTAACACCACCGGGAGCCAAGAACGTGTGGAGTTAGAACTAAAGAAGGATTGAGAAGTTTTTAGGCCATCGAATCGTCCGATATTTTTTTTACCATAAGGCTCAAAAAACAGAAACCTTTATTTGTTCTACTCAATCGTCAAAACCAGGCAATTTTGACCGTTTGATTGATTTGAAGGTGGTCTGGAGCCAAGCCACCTGTGTTTGGTTTGAGAACGATATAAGATTCATTTCTATTTTTTAGGATCTTATTGTCATTTTTTATGTTTGGTTGAGAGGAATGTGTACTTCAGTTTTTTTTCTGTTGGTTGAATGGACAAGACTAAATGAGATGAATGGTGTTATGACACCATTAGCACCTGTCATCCATGGGACCGTTTGTCATATAGGACCCACATGACATTCTCCTCTGTATATATTTAAAAAATGTTCTTTCTTACAGAGCTAGCAGCGTCCTCTCTAATCCTATCTTGCACCGCCCTCTCCAGTCCTATCTCGCAGCCCCCGCGCCCCCTCTTCCATGCACCGCGCGTCCCCTACTCAAGCTCTCCTATTGACACTGCTCGTCGAGCTCTTGCGCCGTGGGGAGGACCATGACTACCAAGAGCTCTCACGCCACAGGAGGAGCGTGGCCTCAATGAACCTCTTGTGTCGTGGGAGGAGTGCGGTTGTCGTCGGTCTACACCAGCCTCGCCTCATGACCTGCGTTGTCCGACCACCGCATCATATTTGGCCTCAGCCCACGGACAAGATGGACGAAGACGTCGTCCAAAGAGGACATGCCCGTCCGCTCGATTTATGGAGACGAGGATGTCCCATATGGGAGAGGGGAATTCCTCTAGGTTGGCAGCGTCTTAGTCGCCAAGAAACAAACAATGTCAAAATTGGGAAGGGGTCATACCATCCCTAAACATCCTGCCAACCAAACACACGCTAGGTACAGGGGGTAATAATCACCGTTGGCCACTAGTAATTACTCATGTACCGCACGGAATCTGCGGATGGCCTCGAGGAAATTTGCATGGATGCATGCAGGGACGTTTCTTCTCCTCACGCCTTCAGTTACTTTCACCCATTTGATTGGAGACATGCATGCAGGTGCAGCGGATGTTGCTTCATTTCCTCCCACGCCTTTTGCCTCATGTACGAAAAATTCTTCTGTGACATTGCCGCTAAAATCTCGCCCAAAAAATTCTTTCCTCCAATTACTTTCTCCTCTGCGCTCCAAATTTCTTTCCTCTTCTGCTAGGAAATTTCACTCTCGCTGCACTCCTTTCTCTCGGCGCCATTGACGAGTTGGCATATTTATTCGTATATATAATTATATTTTTATATATAGTTCGTATTTCTTTTTATTGTTTCATAAATTTTGTCGGTTTGACGGTGAGTTGGCCCCCCTATCTTTGGATCCTGGCTCCGCCCCTGGTAGGTATTTCACCAAGTAGGTTGGTGAGGACCATTTGTCCCATTTATTTTTCTACTCTACTCGTTTTCTTTTATATGGACTATGAACCCCTCTGCCTGCAGCGATTCAAGAAAAAGCTATTAAAGGAAGAAGTGGTGGCACATCAGATTAGTGAGCTAGTAGAAGAGAAATTGTAGTGTTTTTGAAGTGGCTACCATTTGTTGGTTGTCGTAGCTTTTTTCTGAATGTATATGTCGTTATGATGTCATATGTGCATGAATCAGCATGAGCTTTTGGCTGAACGTATATGCTTTCAACTGAATGTACATGCTGTCTACTCAATGTAACTAGTATTTGTCCGTGCTCAGTGGCGGACCCAGGATCTGAGTCCAGGGTAGTCCTGGTAAAAAAAAATTCATGTGTAATACTATAAAATCCAAACAAAAAGTTAGCTATAAATTAACCAAATTACGATAATACATTTAAAAGGTTCGAAACTTACATAAATACTCCCTCCATACTGGTAAAGAAAGTTGTTTAAGATATGATTTAGCATACCAAGGAGTGATTAATTAAGGAATATTTTTTCCTGTTTTCTCTTATTAAATAGGGTTGCGGATATCACCTATCCAACAAACTTTCGTAGCTGGATTGGTAAGCACGCTGCAGCCTGAGGCACGAGGTCCCCGGTTTGATCCCTCTCGGGTGCGTTATTTTTTTGAAGAGCTTGTGGATTTGCGGTGTCTTCGGCCTGGGCTGAGACGAGAGTGACCGTGGACCGGTTTCTGAAGAGTAGTAATAGAATTTTAGGCTAAATTTGTGGGTAGTCCTTGGCCTACCTATGCTACCTGCTGGGTCCGCCACTGTCCGTGCTAACGCTACAACAATATTCGGGTATATGCAAATTAGAACTGAAATATATGCAACTGCAAATTAAAAGGCAATATAATTGTTTCAGGTTAGAAAAAAACATTATCCATGCTAATGATTGTGGCAAAACAATCTTGACAATATGTTGATGCACTCCTGAATGAAGTTTGCAAAGGAATCAGCACGAAACAGTACACCCATAAAGAGGTCAAGGCATATGTTCTGACGCAAGAAGAATTTGTTGATGCACTCAAGGTGAACAACATAACAGTTGAACAGACCCAAACCGGTGACAGCAGCAGTACTCGGGTAGCTTTGGACGTACGCTCACGCCCGTTTTGTTACCACAGTTGTAGACCGCGTAGACTAGAACTCCCACCGTGGCCGCAGACGGACGAGGATGTCGATGGCGTGTTGGTGGCGACGGTAGACACAGGTGACTGCTCCGTCTGTGGCCACCGACACAGCATTGTGCTCACCGCCGACTTCTCTGACTGTGGCAGCAGCGGCTCCACCATCGTCGTCTCCTCCATCTCCACGCCTGTGGCGGCTGCGTCGTTGTGGCACCCGTTCTCATTGATCTGCGTCACAGCGGCACAATCACTTCACAGCTACCAGCTAGTCGGTCGACTAGCGATCGATCACACGTCTACGTGCTACTGTTTATGCGAAACAGTTACAGTTACCTTGACCTGAAGCTCCTCGGTCACGTTGATGAACAACTCATCCTGCCAGTGCCAGAAAAACAACGCACGCTGTTAAAACTTCACAGCCAGAACATAGAGGCAGTGTTTATGGGGCTGATTGGTTGCTTGAACCAGGCCATCATTGCACCCTTTGCCGGTTTCACCTCATTCCTCTGTCGTGTTTGGTTCCCCGCCTCGCACGCTTTGCCTGTTTCGTTTCATTCCGCTGCCCTCCACCATCCCGCACGGCTCCGTCTTCTCAATTTTCACTTTCCTCGAGATGCAGGACGACACAATGCATTCATGGTATAAGGGCTCATGTGTCACACACTCAAAACTCTTATCCGTGCATACAACCAAACAAGATCACATCTCGTACCGGACCAACAACAAAGACAACCAAACACGACTGGGTGCACGATTTGAGCATGCATCTCACAATCCTAAGCTACCTCTCCATCCCGGCTCCCCATCACCAAAGCAACCAATCACGCCCTATCAGGATCGATAAGCAGTAGATACCTTTCTTGCGTGGGCTTTACTAATGGCTAAGGATGGCAACGGGTCGGGTTCGGATCAGGTGGAGTCTCCGTGCACCCAAAACCGAAACCCGAATCCGCCCCGAAAACCGATTCGGGTGGAAATCCATCACCAAAACCAAACCCGTGGATACCCGAAACCCGAACGGATACCCGAAACCCGAATGGATACCCGAAACCCGTGGATATATATACACATATTCACATGTATAAATAAGAGGCAACAAATAATAAATATTTTCATGAGTCAACTTTAAATAAATTTAATAATCTAAGTAAACAAATTATTATTAGTATATTATAAAACATGAGTTTTAATTCCAAATGATTTATTTTGGATATCCATTGGATATCCACGGGTGGAAAACCAAACCCGAAACCGAACCCGATTGGTTTTGGGGCCCCGAACCCGAAAACCGTGGGTGAAAAACCATCCCCAAACCCGAACCCGCAGAACCCGAAACCCGCGGATATCCGCCCCAAACCCGATCCGTTGCCATCCTTACTGATGGCTGACTCGAGCTGCTTTTCGAGCGTGGCGAGTTCGACCACTGAATTCAGAGACGACAGGTCCTCTTCCGTGTACGTCTTAAACCTAGTCTCAAGCTGCTGGTACTCACATCGCAGCTTGCTGATCGCTGCGACCATTTGCTGCAGCAATGGAAAAAACCTAATCATGAATAGAGATGGCACGTAAACAGGCTGAAGATACTAAAGCTGCATTGAGTCTGATGTGTACCTTACGATCAGCGTAGTATGACGCCTCATGGCAGAGTTGCTTGTTGGTGGCCGCCTCGTACCGGTGAATCAGATCAACCATGCTTCGCAAATGGCAAGAGTGGAGTGAGTTAGGGATTTACAGATTACAAGATTCTGGGATCCCACTTTTTACCAATCGATCATATATTATTCATAAGTAAATCTGGAAGAACTGATCGGCATGTTCTAGGTTCTGCAACTGCAACATTTGAGATAGTGAATGAAGGCCACAGAAAGAAGTTTGTGGTGTCCAAAAACAAGATCACGCATGTGTCCAAAACTTACTTAACAAACTCCAATCCAACATCTCTATGCACCTAACCTAGCCATTTAAAGCCTTGCTAGAAATCAGTGACTTCCGGACAAGTTTAGAAAACCACAAATCTTCTACTAACATAGCAAATTGACCTAGTAATGCCAACAATTCTTCCCGTGCCAAGAATAAGATAGTAAATAAAGATTTTCCAATAACCGACAATTAATCCAGAAAAACCTAGCGCGATGAAAAGTACTCAACCAAAGTCCAAACCAATGACATGCGGTGAAATCGTGCAAAAAAGTGCAAAGAAAGGTTTTAGTCATTCGGACCTGGCTGGCTGGGTGGAGTAGTCAAAGACGAGCTCGTCGCTCTCGGAGAAGACGATGAGAGGCTGACCTTCGCATGGCAGATCAGGCCGAGCTCGTAGGCATTCTTGCTAATCCCATTGATGCGCCCTGCCAAGCTCTTCCGCCAGTTGTTCCTGTCCTCGATAAATTCCGTGTGCACCTTCACCATTGCGCCTCATCGGGGTCAATGAGTAATTCGAGCAGGGCCCGATATCCTTCCCAATCGACGTGGAGTTCGGCTGTACCTCGTCGAGAGACATCCCATAAATCATCGGCCGTCAAGCCCATCGGTCCCCAACCACCTCCTCAGTGGCCAGAGGGCAAGATGCCTCCCCCCCAGAGGGGGTCAACCCAGGCGACTTCGAAGCGGATGACTCGAACACAGAGACAGATGGTGGTGTGGCTCTGCACCACTGATTAGAGCCAGAGGGGCCCATCTTGTCCCTGCCCCTATCCCTTTTGTGGCCTCGAGCCCTCCTAAGGGCCAGCCCAAGAGAGGCTTTCCTAAGCACGACGCGGGGTTGTGGTTGTGGTGGGTCACTTCTGCGCACGATCTTGGGGGGTTATTGGCCTCCCCGATCACATCATGGCATAATGGCGCCCACTTGCGAGCGTCGTGCACCGTGAAATATGGGCACGTAAATCGAAATGATATGGAAAAGGTGGGGAAACACAAAGCTTACTTGGTTCGCGCTGCTGCGTGGGCAGCCGCCGCTCCACCTTCCCTTTGATCGCTTCACCTGCTCTGTGTGATTTCCAAGATGGTCTGTGATGAGATCCTAACATACAGGTATGTTAAGCCTCAAGTCCAATGGTTCCCGAACATAGAAGACCCCAACCGACCCCTTCGGGGTCGTTCGGAGGCTTGGGGGCTATGCCCATCGGGCACGCTCACGCGCGTCCTCTAGCAAAGCGACCTGACCGAGCCCGACTCGACCGTAGCTTCCGCCTAGGGCTCAGGGGCTCCCCCGAGCCTTGGGCTCTCGATCTACAGCATCTTCGGTCTTGGCCCTTGGCTCCTGCCCGGCTAATGATGCCAGCCAAGGGCCAGGCACAAGAAGACAAGCCCTAGGCTACTGATGCCCGGGGGCTCCCTGGTGTCACTCTCAATGCATGCCCATGGCAACTGCTCCTCCGACAGGGTCACGTCCGACGCGTGCCACAAGAAAACAAAGCTTCCCACGGCCGTCGGGGGCTTGGGGGCTTTCGAGCTCGCGCGTCAGCCCCCAGAGCCGGCCTCCTTCGCCACCAAGAAGACTCTAGAAGGTCTCACTTGGGGGAGGCCGGTCCAAGCCGACACCGCCTGACACACAGAGTGTCAGAACAAAGCAGTCGAACGACGCCCAGGCTTCTTCGGCTCCAAGACACTTCGACGGTCCACGCCACACCGCTGCAAGATCCTCCTGGACTCTGGTGCACGTAGACCATAGACTAGAACTCCCAAACCGCCTTGTACCTGACCTATCTCATTATATAAGGGATAAGGTCGGACCTAGAGGGGAGGGGATCCCGATTCGATCACCAGACACTCCATTCCATTCCATCTGCCTCCGTTCTGCACGAGGAGCAAGGCAACCCAGAGAGGGACACCGAGAGCCTCTCCTCCACCGCATCTCGCCTTCTCCTTCCTCTTCGACGAGGGGGAGACTCCACCGGCGGCGAGGCAAACCTTAGAATTAGCACCGAGCTAACCCCCTACCAAAACTCTTCTTCCATTACACTCTGTTGTAACCACTCATATTTTGGGTGCTCTTGAGTATAAGGATCATCAACTGCTGGATGTAGGGACCAAATTGGCCTGAACTAGGATAAACCGCGGCGTCTTCTCTGTGTGATTCTTGTGTTTCTAAGTCCACCCGAGCCACCGGAGACCTCATACTCTGACATCGACTTGAACAACATGCTTGCCACGGTTTCGACCCCATGACAACTGGCACTCCAGGTAGGGGACAGCATCAAGTGCGATTTTGGCTCTACGGTGGTCGGAGCCACCCGCCTCGTCGTCGGAACAAGCGGCGCCGCCCCAGACGGTGACGTCCGCTCCCCCGGTGAGTTCTTCGTCGTGGTCGACGCCTTTGCTCTAGGCTAGGTCCTCAACTTTGGGAGCCTGGCCTTCATCGCCGACTGCTACGGCGAGCTTCGTCCACTCCACGGGGCTGCACCAGTGGGCAACGAGCCCCCAGTGCTGCCTCCTCTACCAGGACTCTTGGGAGCTAATCTTGATGTTCTGGCCCATCAGATCCAGCTCGGTCTGGGCTCGAACCCCACTGTGTCGGACCGCCACCAGATGTTCTACATGTTGACCAACGTCCACCACAGATCGCCACTAGTGAGGTGCTCCCGCCGCCTGATCGCTTCTGGTACTACCTCCCGAACCTACCTTGTAGGATATAGAATGCGGCGGCGTCCTTCCAGCTAGAGTTGGAGCACCTCATCAGCCACGAGGCACCGTGGAGCACCATCCTCTCTGGCACGGTGGGGACCGACGTCCCCTTGCTCCACGCCTTCCTTGAGATTCTCTAGGGGAACAGCCCAGAGAACGACTCTGACGACATCGACTACAATGACCCTCCGCGCATGTGCTACCACATCGACGGCGAGGTCTAGCTTGAGGAGGTGCTCGGGCTCACGCCGCTGGACTAGAGTCCCCGCAGCCGCACGGCCTACCTTCAGGAGAAGGCGAACTGCTTGCGCGCTTGGTAGGTGGACCTGGAGTCCACCGGGGCAGAGCTCGAGCGCCAAAGGAAGGACTTTGCGTGGTAGCAAACCGTGTACCCTCTCGGCGACGACGATGATGCCAGCACGGGGGTTCCCAGTGGCCTCTGCTTCCCCTATGCAGCGTACAACATGGCGGCCGCCACTTGCCGCCTGGAATACATCTCCGACACGCTGAACCCGAAGACCAATGAGCGGCTGAACGAGGTGAAGCGGCTCCTCCGTGTCGCCCTCAAGCAGCAGGCCGAGAGTTTGGCCTCTCGGCATCGCACCACATTGCGCTCTCTTGGCCGTCCTAGATGATGACCACTGCCAATGGGGGGGGGGGGCTCCGATGCTCACACCCCACAGGCGGCGAGGAGCAGCGGCGACACCTCTGGCAATAGCTCCGACCGACCGTCGACCCAGGGCACCAAGCCTCCATAGGAGCGAAGGCGCAACCTTTCCCCTCGGTGTCCCCCCCGCACGCCACGGGATCGGCGACCACCGCAACATCCACGACAACATTGAGGCCGGGTGCCACGCTTAAGCGATGGGGCGGTGCCCCCGACCCGGATCAGTTCGACCCCCTGGTGTTCAGGGCAACGATCCGGGCATCCCCCTACACCAGGCATTTTCAGCCACCGACACACATCTCCCAGTACGACGGTCGAGACTAACCTGGACCATTGGCTGGAGGACTACCACCTTGCCATGAAGGCCGGGGTCAGACAATGACTTCACTGTCCCGTACCTTCCTCTGCTTCTGTCGAGCTCAACTAGAGCTTGGCTCGAGCAGCTCTAGCCCGGCAGCATCCGCTGCTGGGGCAATCTTCGTGCGGTCTTCATTGGCCGCTTCCAAGGTACCTACACCCGCCCAGGGAACTCCTAGGATCTCTACAACTGCAAGTAGAGGGCCAACGAGACCCTCCGGGAGTACATTCAACACTTCTCTAAGAAGCGCAATGAGCTCCCAAACATCATCGATGCCGACGTGATCAACGCCTTCATCTACGACACGACCTATGAGGCGCTCATCCACGCGCTCGGCTGTGAGACCACGCGCACGACGCGGGAGCTCCTAGACATCACCAAACAGTACGCCACCGGTGAGGAAGCCATCCAAGACAACTTTAGCGGGAAAGCCAAGGCCGCCGGCCGCCTTAGTGGTGGTGATGGCACCGACGATCCTGCCTCATCCTAGTGACGCCGCGATAGGCGGAACAAGGACCGGAAGCACCGTGGGGAGGAGATGGTCGCCGCAACCGACCGCGCCGCCAGACCTTAGCCCCACGGGCACGTTGCCCGTTCCACGGGGGGCAGGCGAAGCATCTTCTCAAGGACTGCGCAACCATGAAGGGCTACATTGTTGGGTCGAGATGGTGGAATAGAGGGGTGAATAGTCCTTTCTAAAATTAATCACGTCGGCTAACAGTAACAAATGTGGAATTAAAACTGTCGGTCTAGCTAAGACTACACGCCTCTATCTAAGTTCACAAGCACCTTACAAAGATCCTAATTAGACAATAAAGGTGCCGGGCTAGTTAGAGCTCACCTAACCAATCCTAGTGCAAGGTCACATAAACTTATGCACTAGTACTCAAGCAACCGGGGAGCTCCTACACAACTAGTGATGCAAAAGCACAATGCTCCTAAGCTCACTAGCAATGCTCAATAACAAGGCTACACAAGCCAAATTAGAGAGCACAAATTACTTAGCTACACAAACTAAGCAAAGGGACTAACAAGGTTACTAAAACCA